CAGCTAATCCACAGGCGTGAAGTTGTTATTGGAACTGGAAGTTGAAGGAGCGATAAAACTCTGTTCCCAGGTGTTGCATCCTCTTTTCAGTTGAGCAGAGATAAGGCAGATGGCCCCAGGCACATTCCTCTCCCTTTCACACTCAAAGAGATACATCAAAAGTTGAGAGAACAAAGCAAATGAAACACAACCTCCCCCCTCCCAACAGAATGACAGCACCCCCAAAATGATTTGAGGGGCCTGACATGCCGTCCTCCTTAAAAGAAGGAGAAGTCTACCTGGAGAAATATAAAATAATAAAATGGGAGAGAAAGAGAATTCACAGATTAATTGGGTTTATCCAGGTAATGTGCATAAAAATGTTTGAGTAACCTAGGGGGTCTAACATGTTTCTTGTGCACCCATTCTTTCTGGGATGCTGGGACGTCTTTCCTGGCCACCAAAGACTGGGTGGCTCCATGGTGTTTGCATGAGTCTAGGATTTCCTTAATTTCAAAGTGTTGTTCACCCTCTACCATGATGGGTTGTGGTGCTGGGCATAAAGGTGATGTTATTTCAGGCTTTAGCAGACTGTAATGGAATACAGGGTGGATTTGCCTTAAGGCCTTGGGGAGTTCTAATTCCGCTGTAACTGGATTTATGATGTGTTTAATGGGGAAGGGTCCCACAAATGTTGGCCCTAACTTTTTGGAGGGCTAAAGGGATTGTAGGAACCTAATGGACAGGTATACTATGTCCCCTATGTGGAATGGTTTAGGTTCCATTCTCTTTTTATCTGTCTGAGCCTCATAGCTGCTCTAGTCTCATCTAGGGCAGTGATGGCGAACCTTTTAGAGACTGAGTGCCCAAACTGCAACCCAAAACCCACTTATGCATCGTGGAGTGCCGGGTGGGCGTGGCCCATTGGGTAGGCGTGGCCCATTGGGTGGGCGTGGCTGCAGTGGTAACGGCAGACTGGGTGGGAATAAAAAGTTCAATTAATCAATTCCAACTTTGCAAGATCTTTTTTTTTCCTGCGAGAAGTTGAAATTGACTGATTGAACCTTTTTTTTTTTTTGCACACAGTGGCGGAGGCCTAAAGCGAAAAGGTTTTATAAAACCCAGCTGAAGGCCTAGGACTGGGGCGATGGCATGCATGCCCACAGAGAGGGCTCTGAGTGCCGCCTCTGGCACCCATGCCATAGGTTTGCCACCACTGGTCTAGGGCTTTTCTGACAACTGGTCAAATATTTTGCAGTTGATTCATCTATTCCTTAAGGGAAGGAATTGTGGGTTCGTTAGTGGGCAGCTTGGGCTTTGGGTTGAGCTCTTGTCCTGTGGCCACTTGAAAAGGGATGAACCCAGTGCTAGAGTACACAGCATTATTATAAGCCATTTTCAGCAAATGGCAGGAGGTCAGTCCAATTGTCTCGCTGGTAGTTGATGAAGCATTGTAGGTACTGTTCTAGTACTGAGCTCCTTCATTCTGTCCCACCATTTGCTTGAGGTTGATGACTAGAATGCAGGCCCTGGTCTAGGAGATCCAAAAATGCACTTCAGAACCTAGAAATAAATTGGACCTCTCTGTCCAAAATTATGTGATGTGGGGCCCCATGTAGGTGGTAGACATGGAGGAGGAAAAATTTTGCTAGAGTTTTTGCTGTTGGGATCTTTTGACAAGGAATGAAATGGACCTGCTTTGAAAACAGGTCAGTCACTACTCAAATAACGGTATTTCCCATGCTTTCTGGCAATTTTACAACAAAGTCCATAGGAATCTCTCTCCAGGGTGCTGAAGGGTTTGCAACTGGCTGTAGAAGGCCAGGCATTTTCCCCTGCCTCCATTTTGCTGCTGTGCATGTAGGGCAGCTGATCACATAACTCTCCTGTTTGATAGAAGGCCACCAGAATTGTCTCTTTAACAAGTGTAGGGTCTTTACAAACTCAAAGTGTCCTGCCACCTTTGAGTTATGGCAGGTCTGCATAGTCTTTAGTGTCTGGCTGGGACATATAACTTCCCTCCTATCCCTGGTAGCCCCTCCCACATGGAGCAAAGGTTCTTGTGACTAATGAACCATTTGCCATTTTGCAGGGCTTGCTTAAAGGCCAGGGTGATAGCTAATGGTGGGATGCCTTTTGATTACACCCTCATGATTACTGGGATTGCTAGCTGCTGTGCCAGGAATAGAGGCTTGACTATTTTGGCCTTTACACTGTTGTATTGTGGCAGCCTGGATAGGACGTCTGCCAGGAAGTCCCCCCCAGTAAATAGTGGAGGGTAAAATTGAAGTGCTGCAAGTGTTGGGTCCACCGTGCCTGCTTGGGGGACGGTTTCCTCGGGGTTTTCAGCCCTTCTAGGTTTTTGTGGTCAGTCCAAACCTGGAAAGGGATTTTGCTCCCTTCTAAAAAATGCCTCCAAGTGAGAAGGGCCCACCTCACTGCGTAGGCTTACTTCTCCCACACCACCCAGTCTCAGTCAGTTTTTTCTAAATGTATGCGCAGGGCTGCAATTGGCTTTTTTTGTTTTCCTGGAGCAGTACCGCACCTACAGCCACATCATTAGTGTCAGCCTGAATGACAAGTGGTCTCTCTGAATCTTGGTGCCTCAGGACCAGCTCTGCAGAAAAAAGTCTTTTCAGCTTTTTGAATGCGGCTTGGCATTCCATAGTCCACTTTAATGGCTGGCTAGGTTTTGGCTTATCTCCCCCCTTGGTTTTTAATAAGTTTGTAATGGGGAGTGCAATTTGCACAAAGGAGGGAATGAACTGCCTATAGAAATTGGCGAAACCCAAGAAGCTTTGCATGGGGCTTCCCATTCTAAAGTGGCATGCACTTTCTCTGGGTCCATCTCCATCCCCTCATGCGAGTTCCGGTAGCCTAGGTAGTTAATCTTCTCTTTGTGGAATTCACATTTTGAAAGCTTGGCATATAGTTTGGCAGTGCAGAGTTTATTCAGGACCGCTCTGACCAGTTTTACGTGCTCAGTTTTCATCTCAGTGTATATTAATATATCGTCCAGGTACACCAAAACTCCCTTATACAGGTGTTCATGTAACACTTCATTTATCAGTTGCAGGGGCTACTTGTAATCCAAAAGGGAGCACTTTAAATTGAAAGCAGCCCAGGGGGCAATTAAAAGCAGTTTTCCATTTGTCTCCCTCTCTAATTCTGATAACAGGTAATAAGCCTCCCAGAAGTCCAGTTTAGAAAATACTTTCCTCTTACAGAGGTGGGCCAGCATGTCCTTCATGAGGGGCAAGGGATATACATTCTCCTTGCACACTGTTTTCAGATCCCTGTAATCCACGCAGAGACGAAGAGACCCATCTTCCTTCTCCCAGAACAACACCGGGGCTGCCACCTGTATCTAGCTGGCTGGATGAAACCCCAAGCTAAGTTTTTATCTGTGAACTGGCACAGTTCGTCTAACTCCCTGGAAGTCATGGAGTACAGTTTAGGTTTTGGAAGTTTAGCTTTGGGACAATCTCAATGGCACAGTCTGTGGGCCGGTGAGAAGGGAGTTCATCTGAATCTCTCTCGCTAAATACTTCAGCCAAATTGTGGTATTCCTTAGGTATGCCTCTCAGCGACTCGCTCTTTGCGGCTGCCCAGGTGCCCGGTCCAAATCCAGCCAATCCACAGGTGTGAAGTTGTTATGGGAACTGGAAGTTGAAGGAGCAATAAAACTCTGTTCCCAGGCATTGCATCTTCTTCTCAACAGAGCAGAGATAAGGCAGATGGCCCCAGGCACATTCCTCCCCCTTTCACACCCAAAGGTTGAGAGAACAAAGCAAATGAAACACATTCCACAGCTCACGACCTCCCCCCTCCCAACATAATGACAGCACCCCGAAAATGATTTGAGGAGCCTGACAGATTCAGAATTACAATTTACTACCTTCTGGTCCAGAAATATTTGTTCTTATTATAGTAGGAATTAGTTTATTTTCTAGCACTGAAGGTAATAAACATAGGTAATTTACTATATGTAATTTACTTTTGTTCTTTTCTTTTTCTCTTTACTGTATAGTGTTTTTAAATGTAGTAGACTAAGTTTATTTTTGGTAATACAACAATAATATAGTTATATTAATATATCAATGTTTAGTTTTTATATAATTTCATAATTAAGGTTTTTAAAGAATGCTTTATATGAGAGTCTGTGGCATGTTTTCAGTTAAGGTACTGGGCTGGAAGTAGATAGACCCAAATTCTAGTTCTTCCTTAGGCACAGAAACCAGCTGGATGACTTTGGGTAACAGAAAATTATTATTTTTTCCCCTGTCCTCCTCCATTATATTTTATTTCTCTGTTCATCACTTAAAGTTGTATCACACTGGCTCCTTCTTTCCTTTGTGCATTTTTTGATGGAGTTTTCATCCTAGCTATTGAAGATAAAGCCAAACTGCTATATGTAACAGAATAACGAAGTTGGAAGAAACCTTGGAGGTTTTCTAGTTCAACCCCCACCCCCCCGCTCAAGCAGGAAACCCTATAACATTTCAGACAAATGGTTGTCCAATTTCTTCTTAAAAACCTCCAGTCATGGAGCACCTGCAATTTCTGGAGGCAAGTTGTCCCATTGATTAATTGTTCTAACTGTCAGGAAATTTCTCCTTCGTTCTAGGATGGTTTTCATCCATTGCTTCTTGTCCTGCCTTCTGATGCTTTGAAGAATAGGTTGATCCTTCTTCTTCGTGGCAACCCCTTAGATATTGGAATACTGCTATCATGTCACTCATAATCCTTCTTTTCATTAAACTAGATATACTCAGTTCTTGCAACTGTTCTTCATATGTTTTAGCCTCCAGTCCCCTAATCATCTTTGTTGCTCTTCTCTGCACTCTTTCTAGAGTCTCAACATGTTTTTTATATTGGACGACTAAAACAGGATGCAATATTCCAAGTGTGGTCTTGCCAAGGCATTATAAAATGGTACCAACATTCACGTGATCTTGCAGAAAACTGCAATTCTTTGTGTATCTAGTATTCTGCAGACTTTTGTAATCCAAAATTATTAGCTTGTGGGATGGGATATTATCAATAGAGGGAGCCTCTTCTCACCTAGCACCGGACTTGGTGAGAGGTGAGAAAGATCTAAGTGAGACATATGCTTAGGCAGTTTGTTGTGTACACCAGTTTGCTGAAGAAATTGGGTCAAAATTCTGAAATAGAATCTTGTGCGGAACAGTAGATACTCAAGTATGGCATTAATTTTATGTACTTATCATGGTGTAAGGAGACAGATATATAAATTTGCTGTAAGGTTGAGTCAGGTAGATTTTAAGCTCAACCTTTTTCCTTTGATTTCCTCCAGATCTAAGAATTCCTATGAAGATAGTTATGCTTCAAAGAAAGATGCTTCCTATGATATCAACTACCATTCTCCTTTGTTACGAGGACACATTTGGGATAAATTCCAAGAGAACTCTTTGAAGAATGCCACTGTTCCAGCCCATGAGGTATCTAATCTCATTCTTGCTGACAGATTAGCCTGCAATTGTTTACTATAAACCATTGGTGGGAGGAAAGTGGTTCAGACCTTGTATTTTTCTATTTTTTTTCCAATAGTAAAATTCCTTGGGAAAGAAGTTATAGATTGTTTTGCTTTGTTTTAATTCAGGCTAGCATTCACTCCCATATATTTTCTATGTTTTTCCCCACATAGCTTTCATTGCCTGATGGGCTAACTCCCCTCCAACAGTACAAGGAATCTGGCCTCAGTTCTAGCAGTTATGAGCTTAGTCAATATATGGAAAATTCTTCCAACCACTATGAAGCAACTTTCTCCGAGGATTGGAGCCCTGTTCAGTCAGGTGAGTTATTCAACAAGGATAAGATGCAGGATGAGGGCAATAAAGCTGAATACTTATCAAGGACTGGGTAGAACGATGGTGAAACTCATGGTTAGAAAACAAAAAAATTCTATTTGGCTCAGAAGTACCATCTGAGGATTCCCCCAAATTTGAATGCTGGCACTGGATTGGGCTAAAACGCTGGGGTAATTTCATAGCAGTTTGATCTGTAGGGAGGAAGAGATGTTCCGTGTATAAAGAAGGGCTGAATAGACCTGTCTATGACGCTTTTCATCAGAATAATATGGCCATAATTTCTTGTTGTGATATTAGTACTAATTTGGCTCATTTTCATTGGAAGGGTATGTGATGTTAAGATTGGAGAGAAAGGCCCTGTTTTATGGTCTGCCCAAAGGAGAGTCAGGTTGGATGGTCTTCAGGACTTAGGGTTTTTGTTTTTTTACTTGTGGTGTTTGCTCCAGATTTACATGGTAGTTCTGTGTGAACTCCACTTTCTATTCCTCCTACCTCTTTAGGTTGTTCCTAAAACTTAAAAAAAAATCAGTCAAGCTTTTATTGCTTTTATTCCTACCCTCCAAAAAATATCTTTAAAAAACAAGCATTACTTTTATTACGTTCATTATTGATAACATTTGAAAACTGCTCTAGGAGGATTTGTCTGAAAATGCTGACTAGAAAATATTGAATAAATAATATACTCCTGTTACCTGCCCTAGACTTTCTTTAGATTAGTTTTTTAAGAGTATTGACTATATATTCATAGCTAGATCCGACTTGATGGAAACTGCTCTGTGCTTTTAAAGATGAAACCTAGAAATAAAGAGAAAATTTTCTGACAATTAAAGCAATTAATCAATGGAATAGCTTGCCTCCCAGAGTTATGGGTGCTCCACTATTTTTGAATGTTTTCAGAACTAGACTGGACATCTATTTGATTGGGATTATATAAGGACTCCTAGCTTGATACAGAGTTGGGTTAAAGACCTCTAAGGTCCCTTCCAGGCCAATGATTCAATGCTCTACAATCTGAAATGGTTCCAGTCTGATAAAATAAAAAGTGATGCTCACATTGAAAAGTCAAGTAGCTGTACAGAAGCAGAAAGCCCAGCCATCAAATTTGGAGATATTTATATTTGTAGCTTATCATCTAGGCCATTTGCCCACCAGTACAAGGACTGTCTTCTTGTCTTCTAGCAGAAGACTTCCAAGCTATGTCTAACCGTGTGACCTCCCCCAAATTTACTGTCCCTCATGTACCTCTGTGTTTTGGAGCTGGAGGGCAGTTGGTCCGAGGATGTCCAAATGATCCAGCAGATGGACAACCTGCTCTTGTTGAGATACACAGCCTTGAGGTAAACTTTTAATTGCTCGTTAGTAACAAGCTATGATATTGTATATCTGGATCAGAACTGTGGCACTATTTGATTGTTTTTTGTTTCTTATTCCTTGGTTTTACTTTCTTCTCTGATTTCCCTATCTCATTTATAGTTGTTCCTAGTAAACAAAGAGCGTGCCCTATTATATACCTTTTTTTTCTCTAAGCATCTTCCATCATTCCCCTTATAGGTAGCATGGTTGTTATAATGCATTCTCTAGACACCCGCAGTTTCTAACTGTTTGGCAAAAACATCCAACAGGCTTTTCAGCATTCAGCTTACATATTAAATGCTCTGAAAGAAGGAGAGTGCAGAGGTTATGTAGACAAATAAAGTCTATATTGCAAAGTGCATTTTGTAACCTACTTGACTGTGGAGACCCAGATGAACTGCAGTTAAGCGACTGCACTTTGAGTTAGGAAGAGCATGATTCTAAATTCTCCCTCCTCAAAGATAAACCCAGAGGTCTCAACTGGGGCTTTTGTGCTCAGTTTAGTTTACTGTCAGGCAGGCTCTGATACCCTTTTACATCAAAGAGATTGACATAATGAATACAAAGTTCTTTGAACATTTATTTAGAAAATAATAAAGTCAGATTTTAGTATGCCACGGAAAGGGAACCAGTTAGTCTTTGACTTACAACCACAACGGAGCCCAAAATTTATATTGCTAAGCAAAACAGTTTCCCCATTTTACAATTTTTCTTGTCACAGTTGTTAAGTGAATCATTGCAGTCGTCAAGTTAGTAACACGGTTGTTCTGTGAATCTGGCTTCCCCATTGACTTTGCTTGTCAGGAGGTTGCAAAAGGTGATCACATGGCCCGGGACACACAACCATCATAATATGAGCCAGTTGCCAAGTGTCTGAATTTTGATCACGTGACCATGGGACTCTGCAATGGTTGTAAGTGTGAAAAATGGTCATAAATCACGTTTTTCAATGCCATTGTAACTTTGAACTGTCACTAAATGAACTGTTGTATGTCAGGGACTTTCTGTAGTACAAACAGATATTCAAAAGGCATATGCTTTCTGCTGACTTAAACCAGTATGTTGTAGCATGCTGCCTACATTATAGTTTGGCTTAATGAGCACAGGCAATTATTGATAGAAACCTACTTGTGAACATAATGCTAAACTATAAAACAGTTTCTTTGTTTTGGCTTAGTGTGAGTTATAAATCTATTCTTTATGAATGAACCAGGCCATTATAATTTATTGACAATTCTGCCATACGCTAATCAACAAGCCAGGCCTTTGAACCTGCTTCTGTTTTACAGATTATTCTACATGACACTGCTGAGCAAGAAATGATGAGAATCTTTCCAGGACCTCTGATCAGGTATAAGACTTGAGGGGAGGTCAGCCCTTGCCCTTTCAAACAGCAAAGTTTGGACTAAAGGGTAACAAAATGGCAGTAGATGAAACTAATGTATGGGGAAACTGAGGAAGTTCTCCTGTTTCAGGTCCTTACTAATACAGTTAGTCCTTGACTTATGAAGACAATTGAGCGCAAAATTTCCATTGCTAAGCAAGACAGTTGTTAGGTGAGTTTTGCACCATTTTATGACCTTCCTTGCCCCAGTGATTAAGTGAATCACTGCAGCTGCTAAATTAGTAACACAATTGTTAAGTGAATCTGGCTTCCCTATTGACTTTGGTTGTCAGAAGATCACATGACCTTGGGACACTGCAACCATCATAAATACATGCCAATTGCCAAGCATCCAGATTTTGATCACATGACCACAGAGATGCTGTAATAGTCATAAGTGTGAAAAACGGTCATAAGTCACTTTTTTCAGTGCTATGGTAACTTCGAACGATCACTAAACAAATGGTTGTAAGTGGAGGACTACCTATAAATGGATGCAGTATAACACTGTTTTAATGAAAACGTTTATCTAGCCATCTGTCACCCAGCCAAACTCTGGGTGACTTACAACCCCCAAATAAATCAATATGTATAGCAATAAAAAGAAAAGAAGCAGTAAAATCCAAAGCCAGGTGCCACAACCCCCTAATGCAACCCCCAACATTCTCCTCCCATTCCAACCTCACCTTATCGCAACACTTGGGAGAAGATCCAGGTCTTAAGTGCTTCCCTGAAAGTTAAAAGGGTGGTTAAGATGACAGTAAGCTTCTACAATTCTTGTTTATTCTGACAAACAATTATGTCTCATGATATATAGTGACTAAGAAAAGATACCCTTGGGATTTTCTGCTTCAGGCATTCCATATCTTAACGGGGTCTTTTGTTATGGTATTTTTTCAGAACAAAATTTGATACGTATTTTATATGATTTGGAGATGTTTTTAATATGCTGTGAGTCACAGAAAGTATTGCACAGTAATTCAACTATTTTAGTTATATGGCAGAAGACTAAAAGGGAAGAATGAAGGAAAGGGAAAGAGATCTTTACCTATTTCTTTATTATTTGCTGGAGAATGTGATTACTTGAGCCTATTTCTGTAGCTAGGTCAAAGAGATAAGCCGTACTTTTGCTTTCCAGATGCTGGATAGATTGCTGGCTTGCTAGAAGTTCCAGTTATGGGAGCTGGCAGAGCAGTCTTTCTAAAGTCTATAATTACTGGCTAATGGTCTAGAATGGCTGGTTGACATTTCATCAAAGGGGAATGGTGACAGGAAATGGTCTACTAATAGCCAAGAATTGCTCTTCAGCTTTGGGAGTGAAATACCCATCAAAGAGGGAGACAGTTCTGGAGGAGGAACAAAAATGGGTAATGGCATTTTGATGTATGAATGTGGAGAGAATGAGGCAGAAGAATCAGGAGGAAAATGGGAGGGTGGGGGTTTAACTGAAACATGGGTGTTCTCTATGGAAGGTGACATAAATGATTATCTAGGACAAGCCTTTGCTTTTTCGTGAGCTGCTTATGCAAAATTGCACAAATGTTACACATATGCATTAAACCCTGCTGAGATTTAATTATATTATTGTTGTTCTTTTCTTTTCTGCCAGGGAAGATCTGCACAAGGTGGATGTGATGACATTCTGTCAGCGCAAAGCAGCCACTGGCTGTGACTTGACAACTAAGCAGGGCCGAGATTCTGCCTTGCTTTGGAAGCTCCTCCTCCTCCTTTGCCGACAAAATGGAGTAGGTATAAAGGAGGGCAGTCCTGGGTAGACTGGTTATGGCAGATGATGAATGCAGTCCAGACAGAATGAATCTGTATTCTTGTGGATGTGGGTAGGTTGTCCCCATAACTGAATATAGTCTGCAGATCTGCAGTATTTTAATCACTTCCTTGGGGTATCTGATGATTACATCATTTCCAACCTGACTTAGTTACCGGTCATAGGATTGAAGATGGAGAATGCTCGATCTCTTCCTTTCCCCATTTACCCCAATATTGCCAATGCTGTGTTATTGACATGGGAAGACTGTGGTCGGTCTCGTGCCTGCAGAGTTTTTTGTAAACGTATTGAACGCATATGGGCTTTCCCTCTGGTGAAGCTTCTCTCCATCAATGAAGGGTTCCTCAACTCTTTCCAAATCTTCTGAGCTAGCTTTTGGAAGACATTAAGATGATGTTAACTCTCAAATTCTAGCAGTAAAGTATATGAGTTAATCTGAAGAACAGATTTGAAAATTGAGAAATCACTTCTTGAATCTGGTTTTCATGAATTTGAGAGGCTTATTTTCCAGCAAAGTAAAATGTTAAAATTAAAAGCAAATTAAAGGATGAAACACTCTGGAAATGCCCATGGAGTAACTGTTCTGCTACTGCCCCCTTTCTTGCTTTATTATTATCCATGATGTTTCTGATCTTCCAACCCATTGAATGTGTGTTGTTTTCTCCCTCCCCTTTGCAGTCCATGGTGGGATCAGATACAGCTGAGCTGCTGATGCAAGATCGCAAATACCAGGAAAAGTTCAAAAGACAAGAGCCACGGATGAACCTGATTAACCTGACAGGAGAAGAATGGCCAGTGTCTGGCTATGGAACCATGGACCTTCTCACAGGGGAGATGGTCCCAACTGCTGGCACACCAGAGCAAAAAATAGAGAAATTCACCAAACTCCTTTTCTATGGCAGAAAGAAAGTAAGAGCTAAGTTTCCACGTTTGCTTTCTGAGGGGATTATCTGTACAGAGCCTTGGATCACACTCATATTGTTATAACCTCAAATGATTACCCATATGTCTGTGAATCCACAGTTTCATTTCACATGAAAAATGCAGGGAGAATGCAAATCAGACACAATATATTTCCTCAGAGAAATATATTGCTTTTATTGAGAAGTACAGCACTATTAGACTGCCTTTTAATTAAACTCTATTTTAAAGTGTTGTACTCCACTGGTTTTATTGTCTTGCTTTATGGAACTTTGTTTTATTATTATTTATTTTTGTCAAATTATTTTCATGGAACATTGTTTTTATTATTTTTTGTATAGCCTTTGGGGCTCCTTCATGAGGAAAAAACAGTAAAAAACTAAATTACAATAGGAATACTTAGGCAAATGATTATATTGGTTCAGAAGTGACAGTTTGATGTATTTTGCATGTTTAAGGTTATAGCTTACACAATCACTTGCCACTGACTATGCGTGCTAGTTGATTTGAAACATCTACAGTAGAATTTCCAACCCCCAAAGGGTAGCACATAGCCCGCTCTGCATGCCAAAGATCCACTGGTCCACTCTTTCAGATCTTAAAGAATCTCAAGTTGCTGATCTTGTTCTGTTTAATACTTGGCTAGCTCTTTTTTCTGTGGAATATAATATTAGGATAATAATATTTCCCTATGCTTTTCTTGATTCTCATATCCATTTTACTTAGACAGAGCACTACCCAATCCATGGATCACAGTGGAGACCACTGATGTCTAGGCTAGCTCTCATCTGCCATGAACTTAGAGTGTTAGTCACATTGGAAAATAATAGTATGGGATATAGTAGGGTGCAGTTGGTGGATGTCAAGAGTTTTGATTATGGTTTGCTTGCTCATAGGAAGCCCTGGACTGGGCTATGAGAAACCAGCTATGGGGCCATGCACTCTTTCTATCAAGCAAGATGAACCCAAGGATTTACAGTCGGGTCCTGACTGGGTGTGTAGACTGTTTTGCAGTTTCCTTCATGTTAGCCTATTTTTTAAATGCCCATATTTGCCATGTCTGACAAAACATATTTATTCTGTCCTGTTGCAGGTTCACAAGCACATTGGCCTCCAATGATCCTCTGCAGACACTTTTCCAGCTCATGTCTGGAAGGATACCCCAGGCATCTTTGGTATTGATTTCTGCCCCTGCCCCTCTGCTTTCATGGGTCCTGTTTATCTGGCCTAAGCAGGATGAACCTGAGGCGAGCAAACCATCAAATGGAGATGGACGATGAAGGGCAGTTCAGATGGAGGAGCCAAGCCTAAGGCAGCAGTTTGATAGGACAAGGTGGAATCTTCTTGGCCCCTGGAGTCATGGACTCTTTGTGCAGAGAGAGCAGGCCAGCAATGCTACAAAGCATCAATTAGGATGCATAAAGTAAAGAAGCACCAGACTAATCCAAAGCTAGATTTTGATAAAACAAAGCTTTTTTTTTTTTTTTACTAAGAATGGGCACTTAAGGAGATTGCTGGAATCACTTATTTTTTGTGTCTTTCTCCTTCCTGCCACCTCTGTGCATGTGATCATCTGAAGATGCCATAATTGGTGTAGGCATGGCACATGTGTAATTCTAGTAAATGTCTACAAGGCTCAGCAGGGAAGATTGACAATAGCTTGTTGACACCGGCAACAATTATGGATTGCTAGGACACCCAAACTTACTGTAGTTGTTGGATTGGTAGAATCCAAGGCTAAGCTAACTGTTACTATTCTGATATTTTAATCTAGGACTTGACCAGGTTTGTTGACAATGCTTGAGAAGGCATGAGTTACACTACAGAAGGCAGTGGGTTAAAAAAGGATCAACTATATCCTATTCATTTATTTGGTGGCTAAATAAGTTAAGTTACTTAACTGATGGACATGTTAGGTATACCTGAAAAATGCTGAGGAAATATTTATGTCTTAAATTTATTGGCTATGTTCTGGGAATGATTAAGAATAATCTTGGTCTAAACCAAAAGTGACTACAGCTAATCAATAGTATCAAGTCTGAATTGGAATCAGCTGATTTATATTTAGGCTGGAACTTAGGATCTGGCAGTCTGAACTTCAGCTGAACAGAGAAGTGTGGAATGTGTTAAAGTGTGAAATTATGCTACTCCAGGTACCTCTTTCTGCCTGCCAGTTTTAGAGCTGTATGCTGTACTTATCCATTCTCTTCTGAAAGGCGTGGTCAGTTGAAGTCTAACTGACCTAATGAGGGTGTGGACATTGCCTCAGATATAGCTAGCCTGAATCCCACTTGTCCTTGATAGGAGTATCTCCTTCAGGTTGCACTCTAAGTGCACATTTTACTTTTTGCCTTTGCTGGATTATTAGGGCAAATTAAAATATAGTTTGAAGAAGGAATGAGTTTAATGGGGTTGAGATAGTCTGAATGAAACACTCTGAGAATGGAGTAACTGTTCTGCTATTACCCCCTTTCTTGCTGCATTACTGCTTCTGTTTTCTTATGAGCATCCAAATCGTCCATGTATGTGATTCCTTGGGCCACGTTCTCCAGCAATCTAAAGATTTCCCGCTGAGAAAGAATCCATGAAGTCAAAAGGTTAACCACTGTTCCATGGGAGGCAATAATGGGGCCAGAAACTTTGGTATACTTCAGAAGCCAAAACGTGCTGAAAGTTTACCTCAGGTCAGCCCTCCCCAATCTAATGAGTCATGAGGTGACTGACTCATTAGTGTTGGAATCAAACTAAAGAAAGCAAATTCAAGTGCTCCCTCAATCATGAAGCTTGCTGGCTCATTTCTCTCAACCCAATCTACCTTACCTGGCTACTGTCATAGGAGGGAGATTCTCATATACTATAAGCTGCCTTGAATAAAAGCTGGGAAAATAAACTTTTCCGTGTTTTGGCTAGGTTGGCTGAACATTTTAGGAGTTGCAATGTCAGCACTGGCATTTGGTGAAGGTTTCCTTAAAGATTATATATTTTCTTTGTGCTTCAGGTCAGGTATCCTCCGTGCTTTGTTTAATGTTGTTTTGCTGAATGCATGAAGTGGTACAACACACACACACAAAATTGGTTTGCTTCCCAAATATTTGTAGCCTTTTTCCTGGATCTTATGCCAGACAGAGGAAACAAATTTGAGTAAATAATGATGTTTTATATCCTTTGTACCCTGTAATTTCCTCTTTTTTGACTATAGTCCTGTGGAGATGAGAAGTGGGGAGACTGGAGGCCACACCTGGCTGTCATGCTGTCTAATCAAGTAGGAGACTTGGACCTGAATTCCAGAGCCATCATCTCTATGGGAGACACATTGGGTGAGGAAATTCACATAGACATGAGGGGGTGGGAGGTGGAATGATTTCCAATTCCAATGCCAGAGGAGTTGCATCTACATTCCTTGGTACTTCAGCTGCATACAAATGGAGGAATCACTTAAAGAGGAAAGGCTATGTGGGAAGAATCACGGAGATGTCCTCCCTCTACCAAACCTTTGATCCTCACATGATCTTCTCATGTAATCCCTCCTGTCTTATCTCCTTCCTCCACATCTGCCTGAAAAAACAATGACAATATGAGAAACAATCAGTCAGGTTGGCAATCATGAAAGAACTAGAATGTTTGTTGTATTTAACTATACAGGATTGGCTAACTGTTATAATGTCCATGTCTTTAAAAGAGGGAAATGTGGGTGCATTTTAATGCTACAAAAAGGTTGCAATTTCCCCCAATGAATCTTCTCTTTTCTCACAAGGCTTCCTTAAAAGAAACATAATGCATTTTGTATTCTCTTATGTTCTTCCCATAGTTTAATGTGTGCCTTCTTATCTATTCAGTTGGGAAAGGGTTAATAGAAGCTGCTCACTTCTGCTATCTGATGGCAGATGTTCCTTTCGGCCACTATCGAGTTCAAACAGATTATATGGTATTGCTGGGAAGTAATCAGAGGTAAGTGAACAAGAAATAGAAGTTCCCACTTAATTAAAAAAACCATTTAATTTTATACTTTTCTTTCCCAGACTGGGGCTTATCACTTTCAAAATTCCCATGAGCAGCCTTAGTACTGATTCCAAGTTGAAGCAGACCTGGGTATCACTCAACAATATTGGATGGTGTTGGAAGACAAGATAGCATTTTCTATTGAGGTTGTATGAGATGATATATGAGAATGGGAAGATAAGTAGATCTGCCTTGGTTCATGTAGTGGAAATTAGAACTAAGTTTAGGATTTGCTGTTGTTCCTTCAACAATAGCTTGTACAAATCAGCAAAGAAAGCTAGCCGTGGGAAGAGAATAACACAATATCATTTGCTAATAGATGCACATAGGTCACAGGCTGGTTGAACATTTGGCAACATATCTCACAATCATTATACTGGACCAGCTTCTTCTCCAGATACTATAGTTATAATTGTTTGTGGTGGACCACTAATTTTTTGTTTCTACACAATATCAAATTTGTAATGTTAGAACATTCATTCTAAAATAGAGACAGCAGTTACCATCACAGATAAATCTATATTATTTCCTGAAATATTGCTACAAGATGTTTTAGAATGTTTATATTGACTAGAAATAAGAGGCTTTGACATATATTGAAGAGATACTGGCTATGATATAGAATGCTGCTAACTTGTGTCCAAGCTAGTCAAATAATGCTACTGTAGTTCTATATCAACCTGCCTTAGTTTGTAGCCTTCCAAAAGCATCATCGGCATCTTCATTATATACCATTGCATTTGATATTTTTTCTTCAGGGTGGGGGTGGGAATTGAGGCTGGCTTATATTTAAGTGGGACAAGCACTTAAATATGATCCAGCAGTGGGCTGCAGCTGCCAAAAAAGCCAACACAGTCCTAGGGATAAAATCAAGATCCCATGAAGTATTAGTACCACTTTATAATGCCTTGGTAAGACCACACTTGGACTATTTCATCCAGTTTTGGTTGCCACAACATAAAAAAGATGTTGAGATTCTAGAAAGAGTGCAGAGAAGTGCAACAAAGATGATTAGGGGACTAGGAGTACTAGGAGTGACATGATAGCAGTGTTTCAATATTTGAGGGGCTGCCACAAAGAAAAAGGAGTCAACTTATTTCTCCAAAGCACCTGAAGACAGGACAAGAAGCAATGGATGGAAACTAATCCAGGAGCAAAGCAGCCTAGAACTAAGGAGAAATTTCCTGACAGTGGGAACAATTAATCAGTGTAACTGCTTGCCTTCAAAAGTTGTGGGTGCTCGACTTCCGGTTCCGGGTCGTGGCGTGTGCAGTCGTATGGAGAGACTCCTCTCTTCGCTGGCTGCTTTCCCTCTGCCGGTAGACCCTTAATTGGGTCGAAAAGTCACCCTGGAGGGGTGACTAACGATGAGGAGGACTCTCGTCAATCGTGGGGGGAGGCAGCAGCTCCTTCCGTGGTCCGAGGTAGCTCCTCAGGGCCGACGGAGAAAAGATTGGCCAGTAACATGGCCGATCATTTAGCTGCACCAGCCGAAAGTCAAAAGAAACCTAAGTGTTAAGAAACCACTGTGGATGATCTGGGTGAGACCTTTCCCTCTCTCTCTTTGCCCTAACTACTCTCCTGTTAAAAGCCTTCTGGAACTATTTCCCTGCTTTGAAAGAGCTGCCTTTGTCTATCTGGGAAAAAGAGCTTTAACAAAAGAAAAGAAAAAAAGTTAACTTTTTATTGACTATTTTTATTTTTGGTCACTTTGGGGCTCTGGAAAAAGCCCTATCATAGAACTTTATTATATCTATTTTCTAAGCTGGAGAATATTGTTTTCCTATTTCTTGGATTTATTTTTTTTAAAGGGATAAATCTTTATTGTTTGAAAAAAAAAATCTTTATTGGAAGCCGGAAAAGAGATTTCACAGCTTACTGAGGGCATCTCAGTAAGAGAATTATTACTGCAACTACATTTCCTCTTTGTTTTTTGAGGTTGGGTTTGACCTTTAAATGATGATAAAAGTGAAAAGATAAAGGATTTGAAACAGCTGGGTTGTGAAGTTGTTTACTAGTAATTGTGGAGGTGGATAAGTGCTGACTGTTTGTATGTGTTGACTGTTAGTAAATATAGCCTCCTCTAAAAAAGTAAAAGACTATCTCACCACTGAAATGGAGGAATTTCATCCACAGCTTGATTATGAACTTATATTAGAAGCAATTTTGGAAGCAACAGTATATATGAAATCTTGGAGAAACATTAAAGATGACATCTCTGAACCACAAATTGAATCTCAAACCCTAATGGATGAATCTACAGGCCAAGGAACTAGCTCTAGAGAGGCCTGTATGCAGCAATATACACAACTTAAAGAGACAGAGGAACAAGTCACTGAGCAAATGGATGTTAATCTACAATCTATGGAGAATTTTGAAGATCAAAGAACGACTCTAACTGAGACACTTGCAGTGTTAAAAGTAGCAGGAATTGACTCTCAGATACGAATTACTGAGAATAGTGACATCATGGATAATCAACTTGTGACTGTAACACGGAAACAAACCGCCTACACTATACAGATGATATTGGAAGAAGGGAAAGAGAACTTGGCCCAGATTGAAGTATTGATAAGTACCCTCACTCAAATATTGAGACTCGACGATATAGAAGCTCTGTTATGGAAACCTGACTGGCACAGAAAGAAAGCCAGAGTTAGATTTTAAAATGTGATTTAAAACTTTACTTGACGGGTAAATAAGGCTTTAGAGATCTTGATTGAATAAAGATTAATTAAATATGTGAACTTAGTAAGAAGATGTTTTTTCTGTATTAATATGCTTGTTGTGGATATAACAATTATTTGGATCAGATTTAAACTTTATTGAGTGGGTTAAAAGAGTTTTTATAGATATAGACTGATTGATAGATTACAGATTTAAAATAGAGTAGAAATATATTTTTGGGAGTAATATTCTTATTTTTAGGAAGGATAGCTATTTTGTAGTGGAAGGAGAATAAGAGGGATTTCTGATAAAAGAAAAAATGGTATTAATAAATGAGTTACTAGATTAAAAAATAGAATACTTGTAGAAAATATAAGAATGTTATGGTTGAAATAATATGTGTATTTTAGAGATAAGGATTATGTTAAGAAAAAGGAAGTTTTAATAACATGTTTATCTAAAACCCAAATCGGAATATGGTAATTATAAATAGTAAAGCTTAAAAATAGGATTTGGATTTATACAGATGAAATGTTATTGATGATTGTTCTGATTGATTGAATTTTATTGAAAAATATATTAATTTGAATATATTATATTATTTGAGGGAAATAGGGAGTTTCTAATGATTTAATTTGAGTTATATATGCATGATTTTGTTTCTGGATGATTTATTACCCCATCACCACGTTGTTTCTCAAGCACCTTGTAAAAATAAAAAAAATTCATTAAACTTGTTTAAAAAAAAAAGTTGTGGGTGCTCCACCACTGAAGGTTTTTAAGAAGAGATTGGAGAACCTTCTCTCTGAAATGGTATATGGTTTCCTTCTTAAGCAGAGGGTTGGACTAGAAGACCTTCAAGGTCCCTTGTTATTCTGTATGTGGGATTTCAGCTCTCAAAGTCTTTAGGAGGCATGACTTTTGCCCCAGTCAAAAATTATTGAAGTCCCACACTACTGGAAGTCAGCAGTTAGGAAAAGTTGCAGCATTCCATGCTACATTGGAAGTGTGGAGATAAGCCCAACCCCCCTGTCCAAACAGGAGAACCTATACCGTCCTGGACAAAAGATTGTCTAATCTTTTATTGAAAAGTCCAGTGATGGAGCTTCCACAACTCCAGGAGGCAAGATGTTTCATTCATTAATTGTTCTCACTCTGAGGAAATTCCTCCTTAGTTCTTTAACAAGCTTCCACCCATCAGGTACTTTGGAGAATAAGTTGATGATCTCTTCTTTGTGACAGCACTCAAGTACTGGAAGACAGCTATCATTTCACCCCCAATCCTTCTCTTTGTTTGAATTAAGTTCCCTTAACCATTCATCAGTCATTTGTTTCCACTATTACTGTATACTCTGTAAACCAGACTAAAGTGAACACCTCTGAATTAGGGAATAGATCCAAAATGAAAATGTAAAGAAAATGTTGAAACAAGGCAATTTTGCAAAATTTGACATTTTGATTTTGATAACAATATTTGAATTTAGCCTGTGATAACTTTAGAAGTACATCTACTAAATGTAATGGGATTTACTTCTGAATTATTTTCATAAAACCAGATTGTATAAAAATATTAATAAAAGCAAAACACTTAACGTTAGTAGCCATAAAATGGAATGACAGAGCACTGTAGAGAAAATAGTGTTTTATTCCAAATAATAAATGTTAACCATCTAAAACAGCATATCCTGTATGCTGGAATATAGAAATATAAATTATGTATTTCCTCTCCAGTGCCCAAGCCCTTCTTTTTTGCTATATAAAGTATTCTCTACAGCCTACCACAAGATAGGAATCATTCTATGAAACAGGTGATTCACTAGCTATTGATTTCACTAGGATTCTGTGGATGTCAAATGCTGATGAGAAGTTCAAGTATTGGGCAGACCAGGGAATATTAAAATTAATTTTAGCTCCAATGTGGAAAGGAGAGTGTTTGGTATTCTGAGTAGGCATATGTAAGTGATTCTCTAGCTGATGAGACAGAGATCTGAACTTCAGTTCAGTATACCAAAGTGCCCTTTTGAAGCTAGCTTCCTGTAAGATAAGGCAAACCCTGCAGCTGATTTAATCATTCACCTTAAGAGGCACAGGTAAGGTTAAAAATCCAATTTACAGAGCCAACAATTCCACTTATATTAATAGCGCTCTGGCCAGATAACAAGGATAAGTGTTTAATGATTTGTTTCACCTTTAAGCTGATTATGCCTTATTAGTATGACAAAGCCAAACACACCTTGCATCTTCAAGCAACACACGTAACCAATTCTTGTGAGTCTTGTGAGTCGCTTAAAGTAATTTCTGTGAAATCACATGTGTTTAGAAATCTGGTCTTAGGTGAAACCAGATTTTCTGTTTACTGCTCCTGTAGTTAAAAATGAAGTATCCAAAGGCAATCCTTGTTATTTTTCCTCTGTTTTTTTCCATTAAAGTAACCTCCCCTTTTCTTAAGTTTTCCTAATCTTAAGTACAACTTCCACTTAAAAAAATTAAGAAAAGCAACAGCTCCACCTAGGAGTAGAGAAACAACCTTCATGTATCTTTCCAGCTCATATTATAAGTGAACTCTTAGGTACTCAAAATGAAACCATGGAGACTGCTGGTCTATAAATACATCCCTCTGGGAAACTGTAGCTATTTGCTGAGTGGAAGCTTAACAGGAATTGGGTGGGCAGTGAATCCCCTGAGAGGGAGCTCAAGGGAACAAGTCCAAATCATAACAAGTCCAGAATAAGTATCTGTGTTCTCCCCATTCCACAGTAATCATAAAACAGAGGTCTTCCAAATTTGTTATTTCTACCTTGCTTTATACTTTTGGATAGCTTCATTCAGGAAGTCTCCATTTCATGAAGCAGACACAAAGGAAAGGAAAAAATCAAAACAAACTCAAAATGTTGCATTTATTTAAAGCATTTATATACTGTATTGTCTTTCACTCGTTCAGTGCCAGATGACTTAATAAAATACAAATAATGATACAAAAATGAAGCCTCCATATTGTTGAATGAAGAGGAACAGAGAATAAAAATCAAACAGTGCTACAGGAAACACATTTTTGTCATGAGCAGTTTTATTTTTAAAGTCTATTAATTATAGTGTATTCATCAGGGAAGAAACATTAAAGATAGATTCCAATTTTTAGAATACCTTTTATTTAGCATAATAGACAATGATTTTGCCATTTTCTTTAATATTTTGAAAAATATCCAATAGTGAAATTTTGGTAATACTTCAGTGAAGCTTAATTGCCCATTAGTTTTTAAATTAGTTAAACAGTCGCCTACCATTTAGACTGCCAGCATCTCTAATTTTATCCTCCAACTTCTGTGGAAGACAGAATTTGATGGAAAGAATAAATTGGGCTCTAAGGATGAAATTAGCTTCTGCTTCTCAACTCTTGATCTGCTTTTTTCTTTCAGCCAAACCTTTTCCCAGTTTGCAAGGACAGAATGTATTCACAGAATGGAAATTCTTGAGTATTGTCGGTTACTGGGGTGTCCCCAAGCTTTCATCCCTTCTTTCCAGGTAATAACAAGCCAATTAAAAAGGACCAAATGTTCACAGGCCTTTATAATAAAAAATATTTCCTGAAGTGAGGGCTTTTTGTTTAGTTTAGCCAACTTCCATTATCTGCAAATGGAAGGAGGCAGCTCTTTGAACTTCTTCAAGGTTAGCAAAGTTTCTGCTGGAGTCTTAGGGGAAGGGAACAAGGCATTCTATCGTTTTACAGTGAGGAAGAAAAGAATAAGATCCTGTAAAGGCAAAAGCACTGACACCTCTTTGGTAGGAGGATTGTGAAGGAGCAAATAACAGTTTGCTTTTGACTCCTGATACTAAGGGATCCCCCAAGCTCTTTTACAGCAAGCCCCACCTCTTCTGATGATACCTTTGCTGTCAAAAGATACATATTTAAAAAGCGCAGCTGCAAAAGGGTTGCCGATCCTTGTTTTATGAAGATTTGTTTAAAACTACTGCTGTAGTCTTGCATGGAGAATCTGAGGTAATTCCAGCAGAGTATGTATGCTTTATGTGGTTACCTTTGTTAATTTTTTTTTTAAATCTAGATTATAATTTAGTGGTCTATCAAAATTATAATCCCCAGGGCTGTTTGTAGTAAATAACAATAATTATCCCTTCCTATCTCTCCAATAATTCAGCATGATCACACTGAGCACCATATATAGTCTTGTGCGAATGTAGGCAATTGCCTTTGTAACTGATACCATACACAGCAGTTACTGGGTAATAAATGTCAAAAATACATTACTGCCATCTACATTGCTAAGAAATTCCAAGGAGTATTGACATATGTTTAACTAATTGGTTTCAAAATACTTTGGAGAGGAATCTGTAGTTTGTACTAGGAGTTTTTATACCTGGAATTAATTAATTGTATATTATTTTGACTGTTGAAACTATTTCATGTACATGAGCTCAGCGATTTCTTTATCAAGCTTATTAATGCAAATAATATTATGCACATACTTTTCTTGTGTCCCTACTTTCTTTTTGCCATTTGTCCACAGTAGTTAACTCAATATTTTAAGACAAAGATTCATACAAACAAGAGCAGACGGGCTACAACATTGAGAGTAATTCTAGTGTATGAGTATTTCCTCTCTTGCACCCATACATTTTCTCTTAATTCTCTTTCATAGGTATATAAACTGATTTATGCATCTCGCCTCGTTGACTATGGTCTTACTGCCCAGGCCTTACATTATTGTGAAGGGATTGGAATGGCACTTCTTGCACAGAACCAGAATGCTTATCCTGTCCTCCTACAGCAGGTTATCAAGGTGAGTGTCTGGTTAGGGACCCCAATAGGAATTGGGTTTATCTCTTAAGGCTATAATTCTTCAGGTACTCATAATATGTGTTGGAATTCTATACTGCTGGAAATTTCACATACAATTCATAATGCAGTTGTATACATTGTGGTTGTTTTATTTATCAAATTCAGACACTGTCCATCACATTTTCTTTATGACTCTGAGCAGTTTACAGAGTTAGTCTTTGTTTTTGTGTTGTGAAAAGAGTTGGGAGAAACCATTTTTAAACCCACAATGCAGATTTCTTTGGCTAATAGATGAAAGATTAAAAGGGAGGGACATGATGCAAAACAAACTGTGTAAGATATTAAATGTGTATTAGCACTGGGTACAGCAGTTTCTTGGGGTTCTAATCAGGACTAGATTGTAGTATATGAGAAGAGTTATTATATTTTTCCCCAAATCATGGTTGTGATAAAAATGAACATTTCATGATTGGTGCAGATTAGAAACTCATGCTGGTGCCAAAGGGCAGTTCTCTCCAATGCCAAATAGAAAAGGAGTATTTCATCTGTAATTGTGGCATAGCTATTAAAGCAGTGGTTCACAATCTTTTCTTCACCACGGACCCCCTTTAAATACCTTTTGTGATCACTGACCCTCCAAGACGTAACTCAACATTTAAATCATAACATTTCTTCAAGCCTTTGCGGACCCCCTGTGATGACATCAGGTTTTCCCTCCCCCAGTGGTCTGCAGACCACAAGTTGAAAATCACTGCACTAAAGGATTTTCCTTTTCCAACACTATAAGAATTACAGCCCTATTTAAAACAGCAACAATAATTTCAAATATTAATATATTCGCAAATTAAGATCTTTCCATTACATAAAAGGGACAAATATTTTCAGAAACAAACTACCTATTTGCAGGTCCTCTTAAACTAAAACATGACAGAGGTAATTTATAAATATGTCCCTGTGTTAACAATAGTTTCTTTTCTGAATGCAACAATCCTTTTTGTACAACATGAACAACCAAGGCATCCACTCTCACAAATATGTCTCTTTTGCGAGCCTACAGTATAGAATGGCTGCATCTTTTGTAAAGTAAAGGAAAAGGAGTCCCTGTGGGTTTTACTATGCTAGTCATACCCGACTTTAAAGGGCAGTGCTCATCTCCATTTCTTTAAGCCAGACATGTGAAACACAAGGCCCGGGGGCTGGATGCGGCCCGCAAAGTGGTTCCATGTGGCCCGCGAAGCCATCCTGGAAACAGTGAGGGAACGGCCCCCGCTGTCTTGGCCCTGGCCCAGGCCGGCCAGGAGCCAATGTACAATTTTGTGGTGGCCATCTATGCTGAAATGCATTCAGTCTTAGCTCCACAAGGTCGTCTAGAAACAGCGAGAAACCAGCCCCTGCTGTGTCGGCCCCGCCCCCTGGGTGCATGCTGGGGAGGTGTCACCCTTTGTGAAGAATGAAGAAATGGACCATGCCTTGGTGCTTGCCCTGGTCCCACCCCCTTCTGCCAGAGACCCTCAGATCTGTCCCACTCCTGCCCAGGCCCCCACAGGCACCCTTGACGCGAATGATGTAGAGCTGGCCATGCCCACCCAGTAGGCCACACCCACTCCATCCATGCCCACCCAGTAGGCCACACCCACCCTGGCCACACACCCCGCCCCCCCCGAGGGCAACCGCAATGCTGATGCGGCCCTCAATGAAATTGAGTTTGACACCCCTGCTTTAAGCCATTGAGCCAGCACTGTCCAAAGACATTTTTGTGGCCATGCCGCAGTGCAAAGCATATGGCAAAACATGGAACACTGTTATCTTCCCACCGAAGTGGTATCTATGTATCTACTTGCATTTACATGCTTTCACCTCACTCCATCACCTGGTGGTAGGGTTCCAACCACTGGAGTACAGACATTCTCCAGGATCTTTTAAGCCACTGAGCCATATAGCCAAAGGCTATATTTACGACTACCATGCTGAGATTGTCTTTTCCTGTCTCCTTCCCTCTTCCTCCCATTTTTAAATATTTAACAGAACAGGAAAATAATGTCTGCAAAGGCTTTGCTGGGATTGGCAAGGCTGTGAATAGATTTGGGAGAAGTTACTCATTCCACCTATTTCTGATCATTTTCCATCCATCACTGTGGCCATGGTGAGGAGAGAGGAACTGAGACATAGCTACTAATAAGCCCCACATTTCTGGACCTTCATAGAACTTTGTCTCAGGCATGGACATTAGAGGGGAAATTAATCTTGTAATAAATTCAGACAAATGGGGAAGATGAGTGATTTTTATCACCAAACAAAACTGGATGTCTTAGAGGTTGAGTCTAACCCTGCAGAGTTAATTAACTAGATATGAACTCTGTTTTGGACATAGTTATTTCCTCCCCCCCCCAAACCTGTCAAATATATCATGCAAATAGTAAGGATAACTTTCAGCTCCTGAAATTTCAGAAAGACTGAACTGCTTCTCCCATTTATCTCTAACAATGAGGTAGCTCCAGTGATATTCACATCAAAGTAGGCATGTACAAGCTCATAAAAAGAAGTTTTTGATGCTACTGCTGCAATGGCCTTCTTCCTTGTTTTGACCCTCCCTCCTAGAAGCTGCTGGATTGTCCACTTTGATAGAAGCGAAGAAAGCAACTTGATTTCAATGTCTGTCTGAATGAACACCTGATTTTTACCCCACAATTCTTAAGGAAGAAAATTGCATTTCATTATAGGTTTATTCTTTGAAACTCTTTTACTACAAATGTAATATGCTCAAACAACTACCTGCTGTATTCTGAACTGATTCACAGAGTCTTCAAGGGCAAATAATTTCAATAGTCTGTCCTAGAGGTTACCATGACGTATGTCAAAATGGCCAAATAATTACTGTTCAAAATAAGCTACTTCTTATGAATGGGGTGTGTGTGTGTTATTCACTTGAATAGCAGTAGCTAAGATTATGTCAGTCCAGGACAAAGCCTCTGCCTTTCCCTAACATTGATTCAGTTATATACCAGCTCAGAAGAAATGACTCCTCTCAATATTAAAACAGCACAAATTACAAAAAAAGTACTTTGCCTATTTCAGATACAACAGTTATGAATCAGCCTGTTTTGTGTAATATTTCATCTGATGAAATTTATATTTTGCTTCATTTGTGTTTCACATAAACACATTAATATGAAGGACTGTAGGCCCTTCAATCTGAGAAATATCTTTGACCTGTATCAGGAAATACATCCCTCAAGAGTAGTAGCTGACATGAATCATCTGCTCCTAGGAATCAGATTTAAAGATGATGGTTGCAAATGTGGTGTGTATTCTGGTGCAGAGTAATATAGATATAGGGATAAGGCTCCATTGATCAGACTGGTTATGCACAGTAAAAGTAATCCAAAAGGTAAAAGTAACTTTGGATCCAAGCTTCCTCTCTCTGTTTTTACATTTGTAGGAGCTGGGGGGAACAAACGAGCAGGCAGCATTTGCAAAAGTAACAGAGAAAAATGTGGTGCCTGGGGTTAACATCAGAGAGGGGCTTCTTTTTGGTGGGAAGATGGGTTGGGAATGTTTGTAAAGCACAGCTAAATATTCTGTGTCAGTCCCAGCAATATATACTTACTCCAGATGTACCCTGCCAATGGTGGTGTTGCTATGTTGCTACTAAAACCAGAGCTAAGAGACCTCTAAATGTTTGGCCTAGAGAGTGTTCAGGAGGACTGTGGTGGGTGCTTTTCTGTTGCATTGTTTCCTATAGCTGCCTTAGAGAACAAGTTGCAAGTTTCCTCAGTGTGAGACCACTGAGCACCTCGCTACTTCAGAGATCTGTATTCCTACAACAGTAGAAAGCTAGCTGGCCTTCACAATAGTTTTCTCTCTTTATGAGGAAACCTTCCATAGAAGAAGTTATGGGCTCTATTTGTTTGGGATATGTCTGTGGCTGGCATAATAGCTGTTGGTGGCTGTTTGTTTGTTTTGAGAGAAACTGGAGAGAAAGCCTACAATTTTCAGCCCGCCTGATCTGCCCTCTGAGAGAGCTAGTGCTGCCCTACAACAAATCATTGTATTGTATATTTTTGTAAGAACCAAGTGAGGACTTTGGTGCAATGAACCCATTGAAGCACTCAAACAAATGGTCCAACCTAATTAATCTCATAAACAAAACTGTGTTAATAACCATTTTCCTAAAAGTAAATGTCATGCTACATTACTACAATTAATATTAATTTCAGGAATACAAATGCAGCTCTCAGCCCATATATAGACTTTCATAATGCTAGTATGACACATTTTCTTCCTTTGGATTGTTCAAGATATAAATGAATGCCGTGCTGAACTCTGCCTCTTGTTGAGGAAAGGTACAATGAGGTACAATGTTTTTGTACCTTTTTCAGAGAGATTATAAGATTAAAAAGATTGTCAGAAAGAGAGGTTGCAGGAGGTGGCTGAGAGGGTGTTTCGTTTTTCATTGTTTACTCTAAAAATGCCCAGTGTATTTGCTTGTGGCATGCACCCCAGGCTTTTATCTTCCATACAGCTGGTTGCTTACTATTTCAGAGTTAGAACTATACTGTACCTGCAAGAAGGAAGGAAGCTGTAAGGTGCTCCTACAGGCACTGTGATCCAAGAGAGCAAGGGAAAAAAAGTTATTTGCCATTTCCAGCAAATAAGGAAGTAAAAAGAACTCTTCTCCCTTCCCTGTAGACTTTCCAAATCAGTTCTTACCTCACCTCCTTTTATTTCATTCTGTTGAAAAAAAATTTAACACGTAGGAAAAATTTAAAAGGGGAATAAACTATTAGGCACAATCCTAATGCAAATAGATCTTACGTGAGGTTGAGACCCAGTGCAAAGGCCTCTGTTTTGATAAAACCTTCAGGCACCAGCATTAAAAAATCCAGATGTTAGGAAGAAAAAAATCCATCCTGCAACATAATATCTCAGAATTATTTTAAAAGGAGATAGCAATGATCTCGTTTTCCTCTGATGAGATAATAAAGTGAAAAACAAGGAAAA